AGTATTGATACGTGATTGTTGTTTTGCTGGTGAAGGTGGCATGGGGGGTATTAATGTGTACACATCAGCCTGAAACTAACTGGGCCTTGAGACTCTGTGCATACAGTGCACTGGAATTGAAAGCCATAATTGTGTTGCTGGGCATTCCAGTTGGTAGAGCAGCCTAGCTCTGCACGCTTTTGATCGCATTAATTATGCATTCTCTGGCTGCAGCAAAGCATTGAATATACAGCTCCCAGCAGCCATGCTGTGTTGCAGTTTACCTTTGGTAACAAAACGTGTTACAAATGGTGTGCTTTTCCTCATGCATATGGAGGCATTCCCTGCATGTACGTGAGGGCTTCCCGTGTCTCTCCTTCCGCCTGCTGACCTTTCCCACCCCAGACTGAACAGAGAGCCCTTGTTGACTCTGGAGGCACTTGTGCTTCTGAATTTCATTACAGGTTCGTGCCCTGTTCGGTCTGACCTTGCTTATGAGGTGTTGACTGAAACTTTGGTCTTCTGCGTGCTTCACGGTTGACAAAATTATAGGTTAGGAGTGATCATCTTTCCTTCTGCTCCACTTAACCAGTCTCTTGCTTCTGCCTCATTCCGTTTACTTTCTCTTCCCGGGAATTGGGAAGAACCTGGAGCTTTGGCACACAGAGGATCCTTTGGCCTGTTACTGAAGGGGAGAAAAGAAGGAATTCTGTGGCTTGGACATTACCTGCAGGGGCCTTTGTGAGAAAATAAACATAGCAGAAGTGGGTTCTGGCCGATTGCACCTTCCAGGCACTGTCTCCTAATTAGGCACAGGCATGGAGTCATTAGTTTTCTCTTGAAAATACAGCAGTAGTAAAGGGTGGCCATTCTGCACTATAACAGTTAACTGTTTGAGAGAAGTGTAGGTGAGAAAGAATTTCATCTTCCTTGAACTGGGGGGGGGGGGGATAGAAGAGAATCAAATTGCTTCACTTATTGTTTTTAAATGTTCTGTAAATTCCCTCCTGTGTCCTTGTGCAAGAGACTGAAAAACAGATAGTGATCATTTTGATTTCTGTCACTTTTCCAGTGCTGTGTGCTTGTCATAAGGCCCCAGACAATCTCTAGTGGGTTTTGCTAACATTTTGGATTTATAAGTCCAAAATATGGCCCCTTTCTCCTCTTCCTGCCCCACTTAAAACTTGTCTTTGAACTGTAGAGGTATTATTGATCCAGGTATTTAATACACTAATGAAACAGACAGATATTGACTGTGTAATTAATATACTCTCTGAAAGCAAAATTTGGCAGTACAGATACTGAAGCTGTATTGACTGGTGCCATTCTGGCTGAGTGCCTCTCTTTTGGTAGCCTTGCTTATAGGAAAGGGGAGCAAGTTCCTTTTTAGGATCAAGCTGTCTTTTCTACACCAGAAAAACTGTTTTCCCTACCTGTCTAAAGACTTGCGTGTTTCCATGATGGTGTTAAATCCCCAGCATTTAGCAGTCCCAGTTAATGTCTTAGCACAGTAAGAATTGTACAGAGGGACAGAGTTTTATAGCTATCATTTGGAGACCTTCAGAGTGTTTTTTTCTTTCTGCACACTAGTCTGTAACATAGACTGATGGTTTGGGGAGACATAGATGTCTCGTCTCCTTGCTTTGTAGTATCTTCTTGCCTTTATTGGCCATGTATGAAACTGTGTACAAAAACAATCCTCTCCACACCTTTTTTCATTGCCACAAATGGCATATGTGGAAAGCCCACTGGTCATCTGCTTGTGCTGTGTGGTGGGGCTGGAGTCTTCATTGGGCTTAGCTATCAAGGTCTTTGGTCTGCCATAGCTAATTCAGGAGCAGAGATATGGTTGCCAATGGCGACCATACACTTTATTCTGGCAACCCGCAGGGAAAGCCTTTAGTATATTTCTCCATAAGAGTATGAAGTGTTTTTGTAAAAAGTCATAGCAATGATTTGGCTTCCAAGCTCATCCAAAATTTGTGGAACTCTGATTAGGACATAAGCCGGTTATGTTTGCTGTAACATACAAATGTTCTGGTGGTAACATTTGGGAGTTTTCCCTCCTCCCTGGTACCTTGTCAGTCAGAAGGGGTGGAGACATGCAAGTAAAGTCACAATTGCCCTATACTCAAAAATTGGGCAGAATTGATCAAACATATGATTGTGGGGGAGAGCAGATTTTTTTAAAAAATAGAGACAACCTGGAAGAAATGGCGCAAACAGCTGTTCATCACCATGAGCTCCTTGGAGAAAAGACTAGATGAAATGAGCCCACCTTGAGCCCATTATGTCATGGCTGACATAAGATTTGAATTAGGGACATGCCGGCTAAATCTCCCAGTAGCTGCATCAGTTTTCTTGTGGCAGAAGCTCCCATAATAGAGCTATGTTACTTTTTATCTCTACCAATCATACCTCCTGGTTTGGAGACTTCCTGAACTCTCTCATGCATATACAGAATGTAGCCTGAAATCATAGATGAGGTAGGTTTGAGGATGGCTGCAGCCAGAAATAAAACACAGGGTAGAGTGCAGAGTTGTGTGGAGTATTGGCCAGAGGGCTGGATTTTGATTGGCATAACCTGGGTTTGAATCCCCACACTGCCACAAAGCTCACTGTGTAACCTGGGACCAGTCACTCTCAGTCTAACCTACTTCAGAGTTGTTGTAAGGATAGAGGATTTTTTTGGGGGGGGGCTTCTTTGTAGGCCATCTTGTATGAAGTATGGGGTTAAAATGTGGTGTGTGCCCCCAGTGATTATGCTTGTTCTGAACACACATAAAGCTGCTTTCTACTGAATCAGACCCTTGGTCCATCAAACTCAGTATTGTCTACTCAGACTGGCAGTGGCTGTCCAGGGTCTCAGGCAGAGGTCTTTCATATCACCTACTGCATGGCCCTTTTACTGGAGATGCTGGGTGTTGAACCTGGAAACTTATTCATGCCAAACAGATGTTCTACCACTGAGCCACGGGCCTGTCCCTGAAGGTCTCACTGGCTCCCATTTTAGGGCCTGACAAGATTTTCTCCAGGTCACAATGGTCAGTAATGGGGGGGGGCAGGAGGAGGAGAGTTTTACCTGCGTCTGTAGTGTGTGACTTATAAATGCTTCTTTGGTACTCCTGAGAATCGCTTGGGGCATCAAGCTTGAATGGGTTGATTGGAGGTGATGTGACTGGGATATGGATATTCCTCACTGTAAAGGGCTAAGTTAGCCACCCTTTTGGAATGTTCACCCCCCTGCCCCCTCCCATATGTACTCAATGGAAAGGCTGTAGCTCAACAGAACCTTTTATATGGAGAAAGTAACATGTTCAGTCCCAGGCTTCTCAAGTTAAAAGGAGCAGGTCAGAGGTGGTGTGACATATACCCTCTTTGGTCTGAGACCCTGGAGAGCAGCTGCTAGTCAGAGAAGACAGGGCTGACTTTGATAGACGCAGCAGAGGGCGAGCTTCCTACATTCAAGATCCCTGAGAGTCGCTTGTTTACTAGCTGTATCTGAAGAAGTGAGCAGTGACTCGTGAAAGCTCATACCCTACCACAGGTTTTGTTAGTCTTTAAGGCGCTGCTAGACTCTTAATTCTTTTCTACCTGTTGACCAGAATAGACACTACTAGTCTAGGAAAGGCACACTCACTGATCCCTGGCCTCCATTGTTTATGGGCTTCAATCCTGCTGATCTACTGGCTTGGAAGGCTGAAGCTGACACCCACTTGGACTGCCGGAGGCCAGCTTGCTCCAGTCTCTCCCCCCACCCCCCGCCCCCCTGCTTTAGGCTTAGAATGACCTGTCTGGGAAAAGATTGCTTGCCGAGTCTAGAAACATGTTTGCTGGGATGAAGCAGCTTTGCATCTGTGCATCCCCAGTTCGCTTTTGCTGTTGCAATAGGAGTGACTGGATACAATAGCCGCAGTAAGCAAATGGCCAAGGGAGGAGGGGCGCAACTAGAGTTGAGAGCCAGTTTGGTGCCGTGGTTAAGTGCGTGGACTTTAATCTGGGAGAACCGGGTTTGATTCCCCTTCCTCCACTTGCACCTGCTGGATGACCTTGGGCAAGCCATAATTCTGGCACAGCTGTTCTTGGAAAAAGGAGCTCTCTCAGCCCCACCTACCTCACAGGGTGTCTGTTGTGGGGAGCGGAAGGGAAAGGAGTTTGTAAGCCGCTCTGAGACTCCTTTGGGTAGTGAAGGGCGGGGTAAAAATCCAATCTCTTCTCTTCTGCCCTGCTGTCCATGCTTGCAGTGTTTGGGCAGGGGGGATTTAAGTCATCATGTCTGTAAGGGTGAGGGCAAGGACCCAATGTTTTATTTGAAAGGGCTCTGAGGTGGTTGAATGCTTTAGAGATGGGGGAACTGGGGGAGACCACTGAATCAGAGGTCTGAGCAGAGGGCAACAGAATATTGGGAGGGGGATGTGCCAGTTAAGGGGAAATTATACCTGGCCTGTTTCTTCTTTTTGCAGCCGTAGTCATGGCTGGCCACCATCAGACCTCAGACTCCAGTCTCAGGATGGTTCTAGAGTAAAGTCGGGTCAAGTGTTGCTGGACTACTTTTTGTACCTGTGGCTTGAGGATGTTGATAAGTGTGACGCTTCTTACCTTGCAAGAGAAGGGATGACTAGCTGGGTCCTGAAACTGATCAGTCCTCCCTGAAAGCGGTACGGTGCCTACGGCACTTGAGCAAAGTGACTGCTTGGCCTCCCTTGAAGAAGCCCCCCTTGCGCACCCCAGGCCCACCCTGCATGGTGATGTATTTCCACTGCAGTGTGGCAGTGCTGTTAGATCTGTCAGTCTTCAGAAGAGAGGTGGAGGGCCCTGCGGGAGAAGGCCTTTCTCGGTGTCCCCACCCAGCCAGCTTTGGAATGCCTCTCCT